CATACATCAAATAATTTTTAATCTTTAAATGCATATTTAATACTTATATCTATTATTTTGTGATACATTATATTTCTTCTATAATATTCCATTAAAGAAGCTCCTATTTATAGCATAGTATTGTTGTCACCAAATCAATCACAACTCATAGCAACCCAAGAAACAAGAAAACCTTGCCAATTCTGTGTCACACTCACAGTAGCTGCGCTATTCAAGGTGATGGTCAAAGTATCAGTGCATCTCTCTTTTACTGACCCTTGACTTTTTTCCAACATGGTATCTTTTTTCCAAGGACTGGCACCATCTGACAACATGCCCAAACTACATAAGATGAATTTTCACCACCCTTGCCTCTAAGAAGCATCAATGCAAATAGTAAAATACACATGACAAAATATTGGTACTGTTGTTTAATGCCATCAAGTTGAGAAGTGACTCTATGAACAATAGATTTCATTTTTAAATAACAATTTATTTTAATCTTGATTTTAACAAACATTTACAGAAGTTAGACTTTTATTTATTCATTGTTGCATATTTTACCCCCTCACCCTCCCTTCCCCTTTTCCCAGTTCACTTAAAAAAATTCATTAATTGCTGTACAATTACCTACCTACTCCCCCTCCAAACTTCCTGTCCTCTTTATAATGATATCTCTTATTCTAGGCTATCATCATACATATAATACATAATCATGTTCATTTTAGACAGTTCTTACTTTCATCTACTTCAATGCAATTGTCATAGTCTGTCTACTCTTATCCTATTCTCCTTCCAATCCCTAGTATCAGATCTGCTTTATAACAGTGGTGCAATGAAGTATCTATCCTTTTGTGACTAAGATATTTCACTCAGCACGTTTATTGTTTTTCAGTGCTGTGTAGTATTCCACTGTATGACTATAACATAGTTTTTCTATCCATTCATTTGTTAATGGGCATTTGAGTTGCTTCCATCTCTTTGCTATAGTAAATAGTGCAGCAATAAACATAACAGTGCATTTATCTGTTTGGATGGTGGTTATCGTTTCTTTAGGGTATAATCCTACTAGTGGACTTGCTGGGTCAAATAGTATTCCTATTCCAACTCTTTGAGAAAGCACCTAAGCATCATCCATAGTGGTTGCACTAGATTTGAACCCCATCTTATACTGTGCCAAACTTATCATCCCACATATATTTAAGCCTATTGCTGCACACACTGGGTCTCCTTCTCCTTTGCTAACTGACAATTTCAATCTTTTTTCCACTTATCATGATGTTGCCTATTTGTCCAGTAAAGATTTTTGTTTTATTGATGTTGAGATGTAATCCATATTGAAGGTTTGGTTATCTGAAGCAAGTTCCTTGAGTCTCCTTCACTTTCAGCAAGCAAGCTTTGCCATCTCTATATTGCAGGTAATTTAATAGAATATGTAAATTATAGAACATTATAAATGGTATCACATGCAAGCAAAATCTTGCTGAATATCATCCAGAAATGGCTAATGTAATACATTCACAGAAAATTTCCAGAAGTCCAGGATGGTTTAGAAGATGCCATGGCACCAGAGATATTACTGATGTCAGATGGATCTTGGCTGAAAGTAGAGAATACCAGAAGAAGGTCTATTCGTGTTTTATTGATTATGCAAAGGCATTTGACTGTGTGGGTCATAACAAATTATGGCTGACATTGAGAGGAATGGGAATCCAAGAATACTTAATTGTGCTCATGAAAAATTTATAACTCGATCAAGAAGTTGTTGTCCAAACAGAGCATGGAAACACTGCATGGTTTAAAATCAAGAAGTATGTATATATGTGCTTTACAGTTGTATCCTTTCTCCATACCTATTAAATATGCAAGCTGAACAAATAATTCATGAAACTGGATTCTATGAAGAGTAATGTGGCATCAGGATCAGAGGAGGATTCATCAACAACCTGTGTTATTCATATGACACAACCTTGTTTGATAAAAATGAGGAGGATTGCTCCTGAAGATCAGGAACTACAATCTTCACAATGGATTACATCTCTACATCAAGAAAACAAAAGTCCTTACCACAAGACCAGTGGTCAAAATTCTGATAGAGAAAGGATTGAAAATGCCAATTTTTTCATCTCATTAGGATCAACAAACAACACCCTGGGTATCAGCAGTCAGGAAATCAGGAAACATATTGCACTGGACAAGCCTACTGTCAAGGATCTTTCCAAGATGCTGAAGAGTAGTAATGATGTCAGTTTGAGGATTAAGATGCATCTGATTCAGGCCATGGTTTTCTCAAAAACTTGTTATGCATTAGAGGGCTGGATAATGAATAATGATGACAGAAGAAGAACTGATAGCTCTGTGTTGTGGTGTTAGGGAAGAATACTAAAATTTTAATGGACTACTGGAGAACTAATAGATACAGATGGGGGGCGGGAAGTGAAGCCAGGGTGATCCTTGGAGGCAAAAACAGCAAATATTCATTTCTCATAGTTTGGACATGTAGCTAGGAGAGGTTATTCCTTAGAAAGGCACCTCATATTTGGAAAGACAGAAGGCCAGAGAAGGATAGGAAGACACCTAATGAGATGGAATGACACAGTAACTTCAGCAATAGGCTCTATCTAGTATTTTAAAAATAATGAATATGGCACAGGATAGGGCAGAGTTCATGTAGGTTGTTCAATAGGGTGGCTATGGGTCATATTCTACTTGAATGCACCTAACAACAACAGTCAATGATAAGCTGCGCAAATCATTAGAGAACTTAAATTTTTAAGTGTGGCACCACGATTAGAGGGAGACTAACAATTTACGATACGCAGATGACACAACTTCGCTTGCTGAAACTGAAGAAGACCTGAAGCACTTGCTGCAAAAGGTCAGAGATTGTAGTCTTCAGTATGGATTGAAGTTTGACATCAAGAAGACAAAGATTCTCACCACTGGGCCAATTGGCAGCACCATAATAAATGAAAAACAGATTGAGGTTGTTAACAATTATAGCTTGCTTGGATCCATAATCAACACTCTTAAAACCAACAGTCAGGAAATCAAAAGACAAATTGCATTGGGAAAATCTGCGGTCATGGACCTCTTCAGAGTTCTTAAGAACAATGATGTCAGTCTAGATACAAAGATGTGCCTAATCCAGGCCATAGTCTTCTCAATTACTTGTTATGCTTCAGAAAGTTGGACAATGACTGAGGATGCTTTTGAGTTGTACTGCTGGAGAAGAGTCTTGAACATATCATGGACTACCAAGAAAACAAATAAGTCTGTCTGAGAGAGGGTGAAAGCAAGTCTTCTTTCCTTGATGGCTAGCATTTTGAAGCTCCGCCTCACTTACCTTTGGGCACTTGGCCAGGAGAGACCTTGGAGAAGGACATCATACTCAGAAGAGTGGACAGACAGCACAGGAGAGGAAGACCCCAGATGAGATGGATTGATATAGTGACTGGGGTGATGGGGGTTGATGTATAAGAATTAGTGAGACTGGCTCAAGACAGGGAAGGGTTCAGAGCTTCTGTACATAGGGTCACTAAGCATCTCAGGAAACTCAACCAATAACACTTTCTATGAGGTTTTGAAGCAGGAGTGGCATCCACTTTCTAAACAACTTGCCTCTGGAAACTCTATTAACTTTGACAAATGTTGATAGTTGTAGAGAAGCTTCAGGACTTTTGTTTATAGGATTGCTATGAGTCATACTTGACTCGAAGGCCATCAACAACAACAGCAACCTTATTCTCAAATCTGAGATCACTACCACATAATCAATATATCCTCTATTTTTGTTAGTTCCTTGTCTTCCAGGTGTTTTCTGATAATCCACTACGCAAACTTAATTGCGGACTCTAAATTTCATTTTTTTTAAATAACATTTTTTATTGTTACACATTTTATGTCTTTTTCCTCCCTTCCCCCAGTTCCTTTTTTAAAAAATATATTGATTCATTGTTGCACAATCACATTTACCCCCACCCCTGTCCTCTTTGCAATATACCTCTTTTTCTGGGCTGTTGTTGTACACATAATGCCTAATCATATATTCAGTTTAAACAGTTCTTTCCTTTATTTGTTCCAATGTTGTTGTTGTTGTTATGTGCTGTCGAGTAACCTGCAACTCACAGTGACCCTATGGGCAACAGTCCTAAAACCTGCTCTATCCTGTGTCAATCTCTGACATACCTACCCCCATTACCCCAGTCACTGAACCAGTCCATCTCAATAGAGGGTCGTCTTCCTCTCTTCCAATGTTGTATTCATTATTAATTATACATTATTTATCCCTCCAAGCTTCAATAGTGTTGACTGAGGAAGAGTGCAGGCCGCTCTGAAGGACCTGGCAAAAAATAAAGCCTCAGGAATTGATGCAATACCAATTGACGTATTTCAGCAAACAGATGCTGCCCTGCATGTGCTTATCAAGTTGTACCATGAAATCTGGAGGACAACTACTTGGCCAACTGACTTGAAGAGATCCATATTTATTTCCATTCCAAAAATGGTGACCCGACAACCTGTGGAAATTATAGAACAATATCACTGACATCACACACTACTAAAATCCTGATGAAGATTATCCAGAAAAAGACTTAAATAGTACATTGACAGAAATACCAGAAATGCAAGCTGGGTTTAGAAGAGGTCGTAAGATTAGGGACATTATAGCCAATGTCAGATGGATCTTGGCAGAGAGCAGAAAGTACGAGAAGAATGTCTATGTGTTTCATTGACTGTGCAAAGGCATTTGATGGTGTGGATCACAATACATTTTGTCTAACCTTGAGGAAAATGGGAATCTCAAGAGCATTTGATCATGCTTATATGAAACCTATATTTGGACCAAGAAGCAGCCCTCAAAACAGAGTAAGGAAACACTAAATGG